AAGCAGGTTTGTGGTGTATGTGCATGTAATAAATAAAATGCTGTCAGATGTCCAGGAGCAGTGCTTGCAGGCACTGATCTGCACTGAATACTTTTGAGGGTCTGTCAGTTTGCTTAGGGAACAGCCCCATGTTGTGTTTGTCCACCCCTGACCTACCACGGTTCCTATTTTTCAGAACAGGATTATGTTCTGGAATAGATTAAAAAATATATATTCACACAGCATTCTGGTAAACCTTTGAAGGTGTGTGGAAAATAGAATGAGGGAGGCAGACAGCTGAACTGCAGGCTGCCTGGCGCAGAGCGGGTGCCGTGGCCCGCTTTCTTTTCCTGCTACTTTGAAGTCCTTTATCAGCAAGGAGCAGAAATCGTCCTGCTCTGTCTGATGTGAGATGGAAAAGCATGGTGCTCGTACAAGACAAGGTTATATCCTGAACAGTAAAGGAGAATGTGCACAGGGAGTAACTCTTTGTTGTTCTTCTCAGTTGAATGTAAAAGCAAAACAGGGTGATATCAGGCACCGAGTTTAAAACAAAGGTACTTCATGTTGTTGGAAATTACCCCATGGTTGCGAAATCCAGAAGTACATGTGATGCCAAAAACTATGGAAACTGAGTCTCTAAGTGAGACGTCGAGAGCTTGGAGGGCAAGTGGAAGAAATACCATTTAATATCAAATTTATTAATCTCATGAATGTTAATCTTTTTTTTTTTTTTTTTTTTTTTTTTTTTTAAGCACATGCTGTTGTCAAAGTCTGGATGCTGGATTATATCATCCTTTGGTCCACGTGGGCAAATGATTTCCAACTGAAATACCCTGGGTGGCTCATACCTGAGGCTGGACAATTACGTGGATGCACAGAGCATCTTGGAGAACAGGAGGGCAGGTAAACAACAGTGCATCTCCTGGCATGTGCAAGGTGGCAGTGCTAACGGAGTACACCCACAAGTATGGAGAAACTGATAATTTAACATCTTCCATAGAGAATCCTGTCTCCAGCTGTTGTTTCAAATTAGCTTTCTTTTGCTACAATTTACCTACAAAGTCATCTGTTTAACATCTTGAAAAATAAGGGGATAAAGGGGTTGGTTGATTTTGATATTATAGTGGTATGTAGTTGCAGAAAGTTATTTAAATTTCAGACTTTCATCTGGAAAGATGAAAAATGAAAAATGAAAAAAAAAAAAGCGCATAGAATATTCAGGAAAATATTTTTATATATATATACAATTGTTAATAGAAGTTTAATGCCTTTGGGGATCAATGCCTCATGCAACATCAAGAATATTCTTCCTATCCAAAATGACTACAGATATAAAAGCCAGCATTTTCAATAGCATCTTGGATAGAAGACAGCATCCTTGACATTCTGGTGTCTCTTCATTGCACAGTCACAAAGGACAGTCTTTGAAAGCTCACATAGACTTCTGAAGAAAATAAGTTTTTATGCACTTCTGAAAACACACTCTGTTAGCCCGAATCTATGCATCTATGTTGAAACCTTTATTTGCAGTGCTCAGAGAAAGGCTTATATGAGTTTCTGAATATCCTTATCCAGCACAAAGTGGGTCTTGGTTCAAGATGGGGGTACCCTGGGAAAGATAAATGATGATTAAAAAAGGTATTCCTTATCCTCTTAAACACTTCCTGCCCCTGAGGATGGGTTTGAGGGGACGGTACATACGAAAGAGGTTTTCTGAGCATGAGGCATACATGGAGAAAGTGCTTGTCCACCTGGTTCTCTACACTGTACGCTTGTTTCTACATCCAGAAATCTCATATACAGGTACCGATGCACTGCTGCTCTCTGCTGGAGGTGGCCTTTCCCTTCCGAGCAGATGGCTTTCTGCTGGCCTGGCTTCCCTCACGGGCAGAGACCGAGGTGTGCTGTGTGGCGGCAGCTCCACTTTCTGTGACTCAGTGCCCTGGAGCACAAGTTTCCTCAGGAAAGTCGGAGATGGCAGCAGGACAAGTTCCCTGCTGGCTCCCGTGCTCCAGTTTCCTCCTTTTGGCAGAACAGAATTTGATTTTTCTCGCGATTATTATGGGCTGCGAAGAGCAGCTCCTAAATTAGCCCTGAGGAGGTGGAAAGGTAGAGAGAGCTCGCTGTGGGGAGCTTGGTTTGACGTATCCGACAAGTCCTACCTGACCCGACTGGTGAACCGTGTCGCATGCAGAGTCCTCTCTTCAGTTTGTGTTTGTTGTTTTAATTAACTTTTGGCAGCCACGCCAAGCACTCGTCCTGCGTCCCTCTCCAGCTGCTGAGAAGTCAGAGTGAAGATCTTTGGCCAGATCCTGGCTCGGGTGGCTCAGCTCCATCTCGGGAGCCTCTCACGTAACTCAAGGCCTGTATAAAGGCACGCAGGAGCAAACGCTCACCGAATGCTTCTTGGGGAGCTGAGAAGGGCTGAGCCGGGCCCGTCAGCCATGGCGTGGGGATAAAAAGGGCCAACAAGGGCCTGGCGTGTATGAGACAGTGCCCCTGAAGGCTGTGCTCTGAGGAGGGGCTGGGTCTTCCTCAGCACTTGGGACTGCAGAGCTTCTGTGTTGCTCCACGGGGAGCGATGCCCCCAAACCACCTCATGGAAGCCCTGCCGAGGGCATTACGTGGCCATGAGGCCCAGGGGAAGGAAAGCGGCACGAACCCTGCGGTGCCCTCCAGCATGGTGGGCGAGGCAGGGCTCAGGCTGCCTTCCAAGGCAGTGCTCTGCCTCCGTCACAAAGCTTTTGAGCCCCAGAGGGCTGCCAGGAGGGCATTTGGCTGGACTGTAAACCCCCTAGGCTTCAGGTAAGATGTTGTTCTTTGTTTTCAGTGGGGGATGGCGGCTTTGCAACCATTTTTAAGCGAATCTGTTTAAGTGAAGAGCCTCATGTGTGTGCTGGGGTGCTTCAGCCCTTGTGTAGGGTCCCGAAGAACACCGATGGCAGCAAATCTCACCCACTGCTGATTTTCATTATCCAAATGAGAAACTGGGTTAAGCTACCTCAGGCGATAAAATCCTGCAGGCTGCTGCGAGGCTGTCATTGCTGGAGAGACTCTCAGCTGGGAAAGGGCACTGCTGTCTCGCAACAATGAACCTAATAACGTTATAAATAACTCCCTCATTACTAGGAAATGGTAAGAGAAAAAACATATATTTTTTTTCTTTTTCTGTTCCAGTTTTCTCCCTTTTGGGCAACATCAGAACACAACAGCAGCAAAAGAAGGGGACAACAGTTAGAGTGAGCACATGGTGGGGGTTTGTCTAGCTTGCCTGGCGGTTAAACCTTATGCCCAGGCATGAGGTTGGGTCCCAGCTTGCAGGACAGGACCTCCAGTGCCCAGAGGTATGGGCAGTAGTGCAGAAGACGCCTTGCAGCCTGGTTTCATCAGGCACCTCATCTCCCTTGCTCACAGGATGCTGCTCCTCCCTCTTTGCACAAGGACACCCCTGGCTCTAAGTGCCAAAGTGCGACCGGAGGCTCAGTGTTAAAAGGCTTTGAGGTACAGAAGAACTAGTTGGCAACTCACCTTTACAATTTCGAAGAGTGATTTGCAATTTATTCTGCCATAGCTGGCTGCAGATCCTAATCTAACAGCAAATTAAAGAAATGTCTCCCTCCTCCCCCTCACAACTTTCCCTTTTGGTCAAATATTATTTGGCATCATTGTGTCTGGCTGCTGGAAGCTTGCCAAGATTTTTTATTTTTAATTTTGTGTGTCTGTCCAAAAGATATTGATATTTTCCTTTGCTGTTTCCCCAAAGTGTATAAGACAATGCAGTGAACTTAAATTTGCCTTTTTCCTTTTGGGGAGTCCAAATCCAGCAGAAGAAGGAATACCTAAACTTTTGTTTAAGGTATTGGCAGAAGGGCCCCGTGTGTTGGAGATATTTTTTTTTTTTTTTTGATGCTGACTCCAGCCTGGGTCCCATGTGCTGAGCTCCATGATTCTCATCACCTTTTTCCTATGTTAAACCCTCATTGCCAAAATCAAACCTGTTGCTGGCTGCGCGTTTACGGGCTTGGTAACTGAAGGAAACTGGAGATGGTCTGTGAGAAAAGTTGAGATGATTTTGCTTTGCAGGGGTCTGATGAGCTGCAATTCATTAAATGTGCATAAAGTGTTTTCCTGAGTCCCGGATGAAGGTGATTTAAAAGTGCCTGTGCTGTGGCTTAATGGTGGTTGGGGGTATCTCTGCAGCATCTGTGACTTGGTACCTTTTTCTCTCTGCTCCTCTGTGGGGATGAAGAGGCAAGTTAGGATATTAGAAGCACTGCAACATGGAATGTTAAGTTTGGCTTAATGAAGAAAGACTACACTGCTGGAATTATTAATTGCAAATTCTATTGAGAATAATTTGATAGGAGATTGAGTTACTGCGTGCCTTGGCCTGATCTGAAAAGATGCCATAAATGACAATGCTGAGGGTGTGCGTGTGTACACGTCTCAGTGTTAATCAGACCCCAGATTTCATAATTTCACAAATTAAATTCCTCGTTTTATTCAATTAGTGTGCTAAAACTGATCCGCACTGCTGCTCACAACTGTGAGCACAGAGCCCGATTACACACCGCATTAGCTCAGGTCGCGGCGCATCCAGGGCCCGGTGAGCAAGGCGCTGGGGGTGGTTCTCCAACCGTGACAGAGAACTCAAAGAAATTCCCATTTGGTTCATCACATTGATTGTCCCGGCCAGCGTGTGGCAGGTCTCACTGCAGGGGCCTGTAGCAGCCTCTTTGGGTCCCCTCTGGCTGCAGAGCACGCTTGTGGGCTGTGAGTTCGGCTACCTGCAATTGATGAGGTGTGAGAGCCCAGGGGCACTGAGTGTGCGAGACTCTCCTCCCTGCTCCTTCTCTGGTACAGGCCCACTGTAACCCCATTTAGGTTTTCCCCTGCGAGGTTTCTGCTCCCTTTGTGGATTCAAGTTTCCAACAGGTGATGTCTGAGACCCAGCACAGCCGCCCACGTCCCGTGTTCAGCCCTCCCTCTGTTCTCGAAAAGAACGAGGCAGAAAAAGCAAGCAGTAATATATCTGACTGTATTTCAAAGTTGTTGATTGTAAACAAACTTTGTTGAAGAAATAAAATCACATGACAAGATATCAGAGTGATACTATAAATCCATTTTGTTATTGTTGCCACACTTCACATTTTTGGAACTCAGAATTTAGCTCATGGTGTACAAAACTTGTAAAAATTTATTGCAAGCGTGCCTTTGTGTAGAACAAAACTGGTGTCACAAAAGTAGTTCCCTGTCCCATGCAGAAATACAGGTGTGTAGGTCTCTGTGTGAAGAGGTCACACACCTGCATTTCCTGAAAGACTTGGCTGTTACAAAATTGCTCTGAGAAGTTCAAAAAAAAAAAAAAAAAGGAAAAAAAGGAAAAAGAAGAAAAAAGCAATTGCAGTTTATGCTTTACCTCTGGAATTTACATCTTCAACATAAATTTCTAGAATTTTTTAAAGAGTATGGAACTTGCAACAGAACTGCAGCCGCTGATGTGAGCACAGCCCATTGGATTCGTTTTGCAAGCACTCCGGCAGCTAAGGCCAATCTTCGTGTTTGGTGCAGTCACTGCATTTGATGGAATGTCAGTTGCACATTTTTAATGGAAAATTAAAACAAAACATGGATGGGAAGAAGATTCCTTTTCCAAAATTTCCATCATTCATGTCTCTCCTGTGGCACTTGAGACCCACTCCCTCACTGTGTTGACGTGCAGCAGAGCTTTGACCCCCCCGGTCTGCAGCTACCACATGTGTACAGTGTGAGCAAGGGAGTGGAGTGAGGCCAGTGATGGAGCTACAGCAGGGCTTATGCAGCAAAAGCAGCTCTGCGGGGTGGTTGTGTTAAACATCAGCCTTTTATTTTTCATTCAAAGGCAGCAGGGGAGGGGGAATGCGCATGCTAGAAATATAAGTTGGACGGGATCATCGGGCTCCTCTCCCTCTGCATGCCCAACTTCTCTGCTTCCCTCTGCCTCTTCCAGTGTGCTGATTCCCCTTAAAATCCTCATTTATCAGACTGTACCAATTAGCCTCACATACAGTGGATCTATCTCTGGCACAAATCTTAGTTTTGTTGTCTCCAATCTCACCCCAGAACATGGGGTAAAGTTATTTTTAATTTCTCTATTGAAATGCCAGGCAACGATTTGGCTTATAAATAGAGGCGAAGTCCAGGTTGCAAAAGTAAGTCTGAGACCTGGAATACGTTTTCCATCAAATGAGTAACTCGGTTTCATGGAGAGGTGTGAATTGTTCAGCACTCACGTTTTGCACACACCTTGACACACTTTAGTTGGAGCACAAGACCACAAAGTTACTTTGACGCCAAGTGGGTCGGGGTTCTGGACAGATGAACCTAGCGTACGGGGCTTTGCTTTACGGCTTCTAGGATTTTTGGTAGGTAGTGAAGTTAAGTGCTCTTTTTGACATTCAGAGCATGCTGTACATACTTGAAGAGCAGAAGCATTTGCTAGCTTCTTCATTTTAATGAACAGATGTGCCAGGGCTGGAAGCAAATTGTATGGGCCTAGCATGTTCCTTTCCCTAGTAAAACTTAATTTGGCTCCCTCCGGAGTCCCCGTCCTTACCAGGTGTGAGATCAGCCAGGCTGTTTCTTTTTGCCTTGCATCTGTTTGCCCAAGGAGCTTGGATCCCAAATTGCACTCATCTCTCCCTGTTTGCTTATCTGATCAGGTCTTGAATGTCACAGCCCTATAAGAAGGTGTTACGGTCCTTTACCGCTAGGTTCTTCATCCAGATCCCCGAAGCACTCCAGGATTGTTGCATTTACATCAAATGAGCACTTTTGCAGAGTGACGTTTTTTCGATGGATAAGGTTTTTGCACTAGACATTGTGTGGACCACCTTGACATCTAATGCTAGCAGTTATTACTTCAGAAGAGTGACACAAAAGGGATTTACCACTTAAGGCCTTTTTGTGATACCTAACAGCTGCTCACCAGACCCATCAGAGTGGTGAGTGTGTGAAGGGTTTAAAAAACCCAAAAGCACAACTCCGCAGCCCCACAAACCAAATCCAATCCCCTCTCTTTGACAGCAATGCAGAGCTGAGGAATGTTTCAGCCATTCCAGTGGGAGCAGCGGGAGGGTGATGCTGAGATCTGCCCCGGGTCCACACGAACCCGATGGGGCAGCATTAATGGGGCAAAGCAGGCAACACCGTCACAGTGACTGCAATTAGTATAGGCTTCCTGAAACAATACCCTGTTTCATCGGCGATTTGCCAGGTAGCAGGAAGGATCAGCAAAGTAATACTGTAAAAGCAAAGGGAAAGGCCAGCTCTGCGTTGTCACCTCTCCCAGACTGACCGAGAACTAGTGGGATGATTTGGCTGGGTGTGCTCCTAGTGCAAGGAACAAGGGAAGCAAAGCGTAGGACAGGGAAGCTCTTCAGGGCTAGATTGCTGAAGAGAAAGAAAAGGCTCTCAAGAGGAGAGAAGAGACCCTTTTTGTACAAAAGCACAGATATTTTCAGCTGTTCCCCCAGCACTGAGATGCTTATGCAGGGGGTTTTCCAGTTTGAGTTCACAATGCTTGTGGAAGGAAAGGTAGGTTTGGGAAGAGCCTTTACAAGAAGGAATATATACCAAGTAGCACTGGTGGTAGGCTTGCATTTGAGCAGATGACGACATGATCTGTCCGTGCACAGTACCCTAGTTAATGACAGGCCACGTACACAAATGTATTGAACTTGGAGTTCCTCGCCTTCCACATCACTGCTAACATTCCTTTGCTGCTTGCACGTTTTTCTCAACCAGACTGAAATGAGCTCTTGTTTTACAAATCACTAATTTCACATCAGCAACAGCAACGAGGAAGTGCCATGGCAAGCTCCACTACAGAGATGGCTGGAAGACTTCACATAGTCTGAGTAATTATTTGTTTGGACTTCACATTGATGACTGGAGGATAGCACAGCTTCAGATTCTCTGTGTATCTCCTCTAAGCTCCTCTAGGCAGGCTGGGCTGCTGTTTTATTTGGTTTTCTCTTACCTTCAGGACATCTTGGTTTTGACGCATGCTGGCCTATGTGGAGCAAAGAACCTGCGCTGACAAAGTCCTACAGCCCCTGCTGAAGAGCAGGACGATGTCTGTCATGCTTTCATCTCAAATTTGGAAAAGTGCATTTGAACAAGAAAATGCAAAACATGGACTTAATGAGCAAGACTGCAAGCTCCACTTCACAGTTTCATCACCTGTGCTGTGCCTCAGTGTCTGATTATGGAAGTGGAAGCTTCTGTCTGAAGGGATAATGACAGCTGATGATTACCGGTGGTGTTAAGAGCACTTTCCAATCCTTGCATGGAAAGAGGCAGACATGCAGAATTACCAGTGCAGCATAAACCCCCACTCACCTCTGCAATCAGCCACAGGACTAGTGGATGCTAAGACATGTAAGACTGAGCCATTGGAGGCCCCCCTCAACACCAATCAGCTAAAGACAGACTGCTAAATAAATGGTAGAAGAAAAGTAAGATCTCTTCAGGAAAAAAAAAAAAGCCACGTAAGTGTAGCTGAAGGTGAAGAATGGGAATGCTGTTTTGAGTTGCTGTTCGTAATGTCAGTCTGGAAAGAGCTAAATTCATTTTTCTCTAGGAATTGTCTGAAGAAAACAAAGTTGTAGCCATTAGTGACATCGGACGTCTTTTAAATTGGCATACTCAGACTACCTTGCAAATGAAGATGGGCCGGGGCTAGAGAAAGGAAATGGAAAACAGAGACAAGATGTTTTTCAGTTGTGCCCTAGTGTCGAGTGCACAAATGGGCTGAAGTAAAAAGTGGCAGAGTTTCTGCAAGCCCTTGAAGCTTTTTTCAGCTAAGACATCAGCAGTGGAAACCATTTCACAGTGGCTTCTAAGCTCTTGTGAGTGTTATATTACACACTGGGAAAAGAAATGCTTTCCAAGAACAGCTCGCGGCAGGACAGACATTTCTTGAAAGAAGTCCTGTGCATAGAAGGTGGTCAGTATGTCTCACTGATGGTCTCAGTTCTCTGAAACAAAGTTTGCATACCACCAATAAACTGTTTTCAGAAGTACACGTGAAGGAAAATTCAGTTCATCAGGAGAGACATGAGCCTTCCCGACCCCATGTCTATTTCAGCTTCAAACTCTTATTTCTCCCCCTGGAAAAATTTAGAAAAGTTCCTCTGTGACCTGTTTGGCATTTCCATTGTCTTTTAACTACTGTTGAGCTTTAAGATCTCTTACCCAGATTGTCTCAAGGATACAAAGAACTAAAGGAAACCAAAAAACTTGGCATCATATCACAAGCCATTGCACAATTAACACACACGCACACACTATAACTAGCATCCTCGCACTACTTTGAGACTAAATTCCTTCTTTTCCTTTAACTAGGGAGAAACTTTAGTGTTACGAGCAGGTGGGGAACCAAATCTGAGTGAGCCAGTTTGCAGGAAAGGAAATGCTACCGAATCTGAGCTGCAGTTAATAAACCTTTGCTCTTCTAAAGTGATGAAATTTCTTCCTTAATTACTTTGCCTTGTTTGTAGGAACTTAGAGAAAGTGCAAGACGCTTTTTTAACAAGGAAAAATCCTAACTTTCCTCAACCGTATCCCCTCCAAGTCAACAGCTGGAGAAGATAAAGTTGAACAGTTATCTGTGGATATAGACTATGCTTTGGTGGGTTTCAGAGCCCAAATTCAGGCATTTTGTACATATAAATATATATAAATATTTTTGCTTATTTATGGAATGTTTGTGCATGTTTAGGGCACCAGTTCAAAACGATGAGGGATGGTTAAGGCTAAGAAAATGAAATTCATTGCAAAGCTATAATTTTGTCTTAACGTTTCTCCTTTACAAAGGAGACTAAAGCATCTTCCCTGTAATAGTCAGCCACTGTGTAATCCCCCATCAACTCCAATTCTAGGGAAAACTACTCAGGACCCAGTCCCTGAGGCAAAAAGCTAGGACCTCGTCATTTGAGCTCAAGTAATCCACATAATTAAAAACATAACTTGGTGGAAAAATTAAACATTCGAAGGCCGTGGGCCTACTGACACCTGAAACTGAAAAGGCATTTTCTGAACAGGAAGGTGTAGAGCCAGGCCTTTGCGCATACACAGCAATGTAACAACTGGCAAAGGGTGCCAGATCTAGCTTGAGAGGGCCAGGATGTAGCTGGAGAGTGCTGTGTTTGCTCCTCAGAGGCACGAAGTGGCTCTCAGGAGGTCATGCGGGCCTCTCCATCTCTGCTGGGGGCACCTGCCTCTTGCATGTGCTCTGGCTCTGCGGGGGTTCAATGCAAGGAGGCCGGGCTCCCAGCAGCTACTCTTCGTTCCTGTTGTCAGACCAGCAGAGTTCTTGCCAGACCTTTCCTCGCTGCCCTAACTCTGACCACTCAATAAATTTGCAGGGCTTAATGATGTTGTAGTTACTCTTCCTGCTGTAATGAAGTCTGGCGTTGGCTGAGCCAGCAGTAAGAGCACCATTTGTCTTCAGGTACCTCTGTGGAGCTTCCTAAGAAGCGGAAACTTGGACGTTTGCTGAACTTTTGTTTTTCACGCCTCATGCTAGCCTCTCTTCCACCCTCAAATATCTAGAAGCCTGACAAGAAGCAGCCATGCCACACGTTCAGTCTGGAGAGGGGTGGCCTCAGTTCCTGCTGGGACAAGATTTGAACTCATCCTTGGCCTCCTACATAGCCTGGCACTGCCAAGGATTAGAGCAGTACAAACCCTCTCCTTCCTCCCGTGCACAAGTTTGTGTCCTTCCCCATGCTTGTCTCCTGGGTGCAGACCTTGTGGACTGAGAGGTGAAGGGGGTGCTTAAGGAACCTGCTGGCAGGCAGGGCAGGCTGCGTGGGGCCATCACCAGGCTGTACTGCAAGCAGAACTACCATGGACCTGGCTGTCCCCTTGCTTTCCCTGCAGCCAGGTGAGATCTGCCTAAGTCTACTCCAAAAAATAGGACTTTGGTAGAAATCGAAAGCTGTCAGTGCAAGAATGCTCTTTGGGCTAGTCAGTAATTTACAAGCCCCTGCTGGATTCTTCTGTGATGATTTACAGGCTTTGCGCTTGCACAGTGCCTTGGCATCTCTGATAACCGTAAGAGTGAAATTTGGAGAGTTCAGAGGGTACTCGGTCGCCTCTCTCCAGACAGAAACATATAACCTGTGGAGTTACAGACTGATAAAGAAATAAATCAATTGCTCTATTCCTCTTAAATCAGCCCAAGTCATTCTTTGGTAACACCTTCCAGAAAATGCCAGGCTTGTGGACCTAAATCCAGCTGGTTCTTTAAGCAACGTGGTTGTGCCCTGTAAGTTAATGACATTCGGTTTGTTTCCATCACTGCTAACCTTTAGGATATGGAGCTTTTTTGTTGATTGAGCTGTAGACTGAAATCAATACTGTGTAGAGGGCAGGGCAGCATTTCACCTCCATGTCAATTCTCTCCTGTTTCGGTCACACTCCCCTCTCTCTCTGTTGCTTTCCAAGGCTTCAGTGGCCTTCGGATTCCACCAACACCAAACCAGAGTGGTTCAGCCACAGGCACCGGCTCACCGTGATGCTCATCCTCTACAGTGCTACTCAGAACAGGTGAACCCTTTGAGCTTGCTCTGTTTTAGTTAGGTTTAACATCTGGTTGCAGTCGGACTTCTTTCTTTTTGCAAAACACAATGCTATGTTATTTTGCTAAACATGTAATCTGCTTAATTACAACTATTGTGGCAAGCCCGGCATTCTAGTAAGAAGAATACTTATAGAACATCCCGCAGTGATGATGCAAAACACACTGCTATTACTGAATTATTTTTTTCCTGCAAACTGTGTGCCAAATGAAGTTCTAAAATGGACTTACAAAAGGAAAAGAAACAAATTGTTTTTCCTAAAAAACTTGAGCCCATTATGTCAGACTTTTAAGCAACATGTAAGATACAGTTGAAATAAAAAAAATATAATTGTTATACTCTCGTTTTTGATCTGTATACTGACCGTGGCAGTTACGATGTGAGGCAGTATTACTTCACTCTCTGGCTGTGTATAAAATGTTTCATTTCATCCTGGTTTAAAAAAAAATCAATGTCACGTTTTTCCATTTTAAATTCACTAATGTATTTGGTTACTTCTAATTTTGCTGTGTTCTAGCTGGGATCAAATTGCCTTATGCTTTTTTTTTTTTTTAAGAAAACAAAATGGAAAGAAAAAGTTTAACCAGTTCTCAGTTCCTGGCTGCCTGCCTTAAAGGTTTTGCTTGTCAATATACTTGCTTAAGTGTTCGTGTCTCTGAACTGCTTCTTTTAGCACACTGTGAGGACAGCACTGATTCCCTATAAGGTGGTAAGCACTCTCAACCACAGCCCATGGTGCAGACTTACATTACTTGTCCCAGAATTGAGTAACTCCAAGTAAGGTGTACAGAGTTTTTTTGCAATGCCCACCTGGGACTGCTGAGTTATCTCGGCTTATGACAAGCTCTTAGCCCAAGAAGGACTTTACAAGATGACCCTGTTCGACAAATAGTATTGAGAGATAACGAATTTAAGTCCGTTTCTGGTGTACAGATACCCACGGGGCATTCACTTATGCAATTTTTTGTCAGCTTTTCTTGTGGCACTTTCTGTAGAACATGTTTACATCCAGCTGCTACTAGGAACAAAGTTTCCACCTCTCTAGTGGCATCACTTGGCATTTTTGGATAAGGACAGCACTGGTGGTGTCAGAAGTTCCTTGCTTTGCTGTTCCAGGTGTGGTATCTTCTTCTGCTTACCTTCCTCCCCCTGCCTATGCCACCAAGAACATTGCATCAATGGGAGGGTGAGGTGTCTTCCAAGCCCAGGAGCTCCTTTACAAGTCTTTCACCGAACTGTGCACGGCTATACCTTGTCACGTGGTAGGCCTCTGACATTTTGTAGAGGATGTAGGCATTGTTTATAGCGATGCTGATGGCAAACCAGAACACTTGTTGCCAGGTCTTGTTTGGTTTGTGAGAAATGAAATACCTAGAAAGCCAAGAGAGAAAGAAGAAGTAGAAAAAAAAAAGTGGTATTCAGCCATCACTTCCATCTGGGAGGCAAGAAATAACCCTGGAAAAAGATTCCTGCAGTCCCAACGGGGAAGCAGGACCACAGCTTACTGTCAAGTGCAAGTATTAAAGAATTTTGTACAATGCATTTGACAATCATTTACAGTTAGTTATCTGTCTCGTTGGTTTTGTAAATTTCTAGTAGTGATTTGTTTAAAGAGCCAAACCTCAGCAACCCTTCCCTCTGTATCACTGCACATAAGCAAGAGTAATGATGCAGACTCCTAGAGCTTGCCTGTGACAAACATCCAAGTAATGGGAGCTGTGGGTCTGAATCCCTTCAGATTGTAACTTAAAATTGCGCCCCCCTCCCAAACTCAGGCCTATTATGTTGCAGTTCAGGGAAGACTGCTCATGCCTCTCCTCTCGTTTATCTCGATCGTAAGTGAAGAATGATTTCTGCTGTTGTCAACAGCACGTGGGAGGATGTGGGGGTAGAGCCAGAGCGTGCAGTGCTGGTACGTGGAGCACCTCCTCTCCATAAGGCAGGAGAACTCGGAAGGACTGACAACCTTATATTTAGGTTCTGACTAATTCCACGACTACCAGAATATTCTCTTCAGTCATAAGATTTCCCACTTCCCTACTTTTCATTTTTTTAGCAACCATTTAAATCTACTACCTCATCTCTTTCTTGTACCGCTTTCCTCAGACCAGATCCCAACACTGGTCTCTAACAACCGCCTCCTCCTCTTTCCTATCTTATGCTCCATTCTTGCTGCTTTGCTCAGAACTGACTTGGAAAATCCCTGCTGCTTTTTCTCTTTCCCCAGTTTTTAGCTCTTGAAATCTTCTGCACCTCACTGCTACTCCCACAGCCAAGCTTCACCACTGCTATTCTTGTGTCTGTTTCTCCCCATTACATTAAGAGCTAGCCAAGAGGCCCACAACTGGAATCCCAGAGCCAAAAAATCTAAATTCCCATGAAAGGCTTACATTCTCCCAGTTTACCTAGATCAGGTTTCCATCTAAAACTGAGTATCCTGTTCTTCTGGCTCAAGGTGACACAAATATCATCAGGACAGATAACCACCTAAACACCATATGATGATAAGGGTGGGGAGCTAGCCAGCCTGAGAGACTTGTAGACCTTTGCTGAATTCTCAAGCTAGCCTTGACTTTGATGTGGCCCAAAACATGACCAACCTGTTGGCTCATCTTCCCAACTCTTCTTACAGGTCATTTTCAAGATGGTAAGAACATAATGCTCTTAATTTTATTTATTTATTTATTTTTAACTGGTGGAAGGGGCCAAAGCAACATTAGCATGCTTTTGGGGATTATTCATAAAGGTGAAAGTTAGGGGAGTAAAAAATTCAATGTGTGCAATGATGTACTCATTCATCTCCTCACTCCTGCAGAGATTCCTACAACACGGCTGGCAATGCAGCTATCCCCATTGTGCAGAGCCAGCTTCTGATCTTTGACTAAAACAGGAGTTTTGTCAGAGATGAATTAAGTGAAAGTAGGTCTGGGCTCTCAGCTGCCGCTCAACATGGAGAGCTCAACCAGTCCAGCCATGGGGAAGGAATGAAAGAAACACATCCACACACAGACATACACATCCTTATTCTCACTTACTTGCTGTATTTGTCGTCGTATTTGCAGATATAGCTAAGGTGAGCAGCAAATGCTTCAACAGCCAAAGGGCATGGAATTTCTCCACTTTTTCTCTTAATTATAACTCCTGCATAAATTAAAAACATAACAGATTTTATTCCATGTGATAGGTTTAGCAATTTAAAGATACATAGTTTATTATAAAATAAACCTTATTGCTGGTTTCTGTCTTCAAATTGGGAAGTGGTTCCTCTGTTATCTGTAACAGAGATGCTAATTTGATTTTTTTTCCATTGGTAGTATATTGAACAAGGGAAAAGGGAAGAAGAGGGATCATTATTCAGTCAGAGATGCTTCTACCTGCTTGTAGAAGAAAGGATGAATAAAATAAACTTGCAGTACTTTACTGAGGAGTCCATTCCCTGATTTTTGACTTCACGTTCCTTCAGGGTTTCATGGTTGGCTCTCAAGGGACCGTCTCTTGCTCCATGTCTATAGCTTACTGTCTAGTGGGGATCCCTGCTCTCTCCCAGGCACAACAGTATTTTTCTCTGGGTCTAGTGAAGCACAGGCTTGGTTGCATCCTTTCTCAGCACTGTTTCAGTACAGATACAATTCTGGGCTTTCTCATTTCTCCAGCCTTCAAGCTCCCATTGCCTGGATTCTGCAAACTCTTTTACAATCGCCCCTTAAAATGCTCCTCATGATTTGATTGCAGACTTCACCATTTCATTCCTTCAGCTGGAAGTCTTGTTCCATCCATTATCTCTGTCAAGCCCCCTGTGCTGTCCGGGCTGGCAGGCTCTATTTTGAAGCAAGACTTATGACACATACTAAATGTCATGCTACATCTGAGCCGCGCAGCAATTTATTTCAGTTTTTTAAAGTCTGATTTTTCAGGCATCCAAAACGATACCGCCTCTGAATTGTTCAGCAATTCTCCTTTCAACTCCGTACCCCCAAACTGGGTGTAAATGTTCTTCCTCTCCTCCCCCTGCTCTCTTTTTCCCCCTCTTTTCCCTTCCGGAATTTATATTTCCTTTTGCAATTTGCTTTGTATTCGCGATCCTTAAAAATGCATTGTGATGGCAGCTCTGTGGGCATCACACACTCCCTCTCACTTTTTATTATATTCTGTGCAGCATTCCTCTGTATTGAGACCATAAATATCTTTATATGCACATTATTTTTATAGCCGTTCTTGCGTTTGTTCTGCAGCCACAGGGCCATCCCTCCAGGGAGGCAACTGCTGGAGCCGGGTTGTTTTTAGCTGCAGGTCTCTGTGGCAAGCAGCCCCAAGCAAGCTGACTCACCGGCACCTCCGATGAGTTATTTCCCCTCCTGGTCCTCCCCCAGCAGCGCTGTGCTCCGTCCCTGGCAGCCCTCCAGGGGAACACACCGCCTGCTCTGCAGCCCCTGGCCTGCCTTCGCCTGCTGTGCTGCTCTCCCTGGTGCAGGCTGCTGGCATCAGCTTCGGGTTTGGTGTTTTTTCACCCTGTAAAAACTCGGTACCCAGGATCCTGAGATTAGCCAAGACCCAGGGGCTCTGTTGGAAAGTTTCTAGCCAGTACACTTGTCAAGGAAAGCTTGGGAAATGGCAGCCTAAATGAAATAAGCAGAAAGACAAGGGCATGTGTGTTTGTTTCCTTAAATAGTTAAGTTTATGCCAATCCATAATTTTTGGAGCTAGAATCCTGCTTTTTTAAAGTGAAGGCTCAGTAATATCAGCACTTACTTCTCCCTTGGCAAGCGCGAAGATTTCATAACATAATATAACAGAGTGGGCACTGCGTGTTCCAAGTGCTATACGGCTTTTTTCAGGACTTGAATTTGTTCCAGTTTTTTATCAGAACTGCAGCCAGGCAGGTTCGTACGAGGTCTCATGTTCATGGTCTTCCCCTCAGAGCCCCACTGGCCCCATCCTCCCTTTCACCTGTGCTTGGACATAACCCTGTGAATTTATTCCCACAAAGGACGCATGGAAATTCAAGGTTAAAATCCTAAGCTACCCTGTCCTCAAGCACTACTTCTTAATGTTAAGCTGCTTTCCCCAGACTTTCCAGTTCTGAGCCAGTCTCACACTTCCAGCTCCTCCAGGGCTAAGAATCACACTGGGGCTTGCTTGTACAATAGTTTCATACAGCTGCAATGCCTCCACAGCATCTCCTATCTTTTTTCTTCCAGCTGCAGGGTCCTCAAGGCAGGGTGGGCAGAAAAGGTACAGGCAGCAAGGAGAAGCTATTGAGAACTCCCTAGGGAAACCGCAGCCCTTGATACTGGCTGTGTCAGTAGGATTTTATTAGTAGCTGGTTCCTGATGCTACTTCTTTGCTCCCAGCTTTCTCATCATTACCGCTGTCTCCTCTCCAGCTGCCTCTCCATGCTTCCCTTGCCTCTCTTTAGCTTCCTGTCTAGTCCATACCCTAAGTGTTAAACCCTATTTCCACCTCTTGCCACCCCAATCACTGATGGGATGCTAACATGCCACTTGCAGCTATTTGGTCCTTGCCTTCTGCACATGGGGCCCAGACTTCATTTTCTGTCCTTAGCTATTGTCCATTTAGCATCTAAGCAGAGCGGGCTGGTGAAGAGCATCTCTGAAAGCTCTTCTCAAAAATAAGCTGCCTCTCCAAAAGATCTGGGGTTCAACAAGTTTCTGTTTAAGCACAATAATGACTGAAAGGAAGCAGCCCAGCCCCTTAACAACTTGCAGAGGAGCTGCTTGCTGCTTCCAGCTCTGCACGCTGCCAAAGCCATGGGATTTCCAGGGTCTGCACTGGGCTGGGAACCCTACATGGCAAACAGGGCCCTGCTTCCCGAGCACCAGGGACCCTGAGGCTCCTCCCTGCAGGTCAGAAAGCCCAGGATTCCCCAAGTTCCTGGCCATCCTGCTGTGCAGCAAGTGAGCTTGCTGCCTGCCCCATTCTGCTTTGCACAGAAAAATAGAGGTTTTAGTTATTTCTAGAACATCGTCCTGGAGCTGCTGGGAAAGCAGACACCAGACCTTGAGTGGAAAAACAAAATGCAGCCGTGTCCCACAGATGGGGAGGTTTGGACCAGCACATCACCTGCTTTAGATTAAGGGTAATTTTTTACTCCCTGGGGGTCTCAATCTCTTTTGACTTCTCAGTATTTCTGCAGAATAGGCAAAAGGGAAAAATTCAACTCAAGCTAAAGCTTAAGGGAAATTAAAAACCCTGCTGAATTTTGTTCTAGGCAGAAAATTCATACTTGTTAGCAGCGTAAGCAGGACTTTTTTGCAAGACCAAAGAAATAAGACTCATCCTTTAGCATCTGAGGTGATGTATTATGACACACCGGTTCAAAACATCCATAATAAATAATGTGCTGCGTCTAAGAATAGTATTCATAGATCACCTCTGACAAGTGTACTGCCCTCCTGGTGCCTCTGGCTTGGGTGGGATTTGTACTCTAAGTACTTGCAAGATTTACCTTCTTCTCTACCTTCCTTTCAATTGCAATAAATAGTTCACTATTAGCTACATCTATCCTAGGTCTTGCTTTGAACATCTCATCATCTGTGTTTTTACGTTTTCTTTTCATGGCCTCCTCCACCCCCATCAATGTGTATGCTCAACGTGGAAACACACGATTTATTGGCATGTGTTCCCACTGGCTCCAGTCTCTGTCTGCCTGCCCTGTATGGGTTTTATTTCCATTTTTCCCTACCTCCTCTCCCATTTAACATACCTGCCCAACCGGCCTGTGCGACAGGCTTGCTTCAGGGAGCACAAATTCTTCGTCTTACTCTTCCTTCTCCTTGTTTACAGCACTTTGAGGAGACTTTGGTGATCAAGCTTCAAGTTGGTTTAAACCAGCATTGCTGCACTGACTTCAGAGATGCCAAATTAGAGGCAGGCAATCTGGTCTCCTATCTTCCCGCTGAGCCTCCATCTGTTCTCAGATTTTCACTCGAGACTCTCTTCCCCCTGGCATGGCTCTGAAAAGCCAGCCTCAAGTTTTCTGCTCTGATTCACCCTGAACTATCTTGGTTGTTCCCGCAAGCATTCGGTGAGCAAGGTATTATGCAGGTCCTGCCCACCACACGCACAGGTCCTAATCAGTGGACCTTAAACCACCTCACATATGCAACCTACAGTCCTGTCCATGCTAAAACCTGCCCAAGGTCACTCACAGGCACAACCATTCACACTGCTCTGTGCTGTGCTGAGGGCCACCGCTAGCTCAGAGTCTCTTTGAAAGGGGCAGTTAACACGGATGCTCACAAACAGAACAGTTTTCTAACTCTCTTTTTCGTAGCATTTATGGATTTATACATTTATGAAACTGCAGGCTCCACACTAGCACGTATCAACCAGGTGACATTTAGTGATATCTCATCCATCTAGAGCACTTGGCGAAGTGCAGACAAGAAGCAGCACAAACCCTGACTGACTGCTCACGTGGGTGGGCACTGCTCCAGCGACTGGTTTCGGCAGCAGCGCTGCAGCTTCATTTTTCCTTCGCGTGCTTGTTTTCAGCATCAGCATTCAGACACCAGCCTGTACATGTCACTAAGCCCTCACTGTGCAGTACAGAGGGAGGCGAGGAGCCCAGCAGAAACTCTCAGGATCAGCCCCGCTTTGCCAAGGAAACAAGCCTTGTGGCAAGGCGTTGGAAATGCAAGGGCATGGATGGGTGACTGAGGTTCAAACTCAGTTCAAACTCAGTTTTTCACCCCAGTGCACAAGGTGCACCGTACTTGTACACCTTCATCTGCCTAGGGTTCACCTGGGTTATGAGCAGCACACATGAGCAGGGACATTGCCAGCTTCCCAGCTTATTGTACAGCAATTCATGCTCTTATCTTAGCTTCTGCAGTCTAAATGCACATGTGAGAGTCACTCAGGGCTCAGAACATGAGCGTACGTGATGTCTGTGACTTGATGGCTTTACAATCAAAGGTTTAGGTTATTCTTGTCTGTCTCAGCATAGTTCTGAATAACAAAAATTAGGAGAAACTGAAGCAACTTTTTCATTGAAATTGAGTTTCAAAGAGTTCGCTCATCATATTACATCTTTCAGACGTTTCCAAACCATCTTAAAAACATTTGTGTATTTTTGTAAAGAGAAAGGTTTCAAGCATTAAGAAGGTCTTTGAACCTTCATTTGAACTATCCAAGTTATCTGTTTCGGTTTCTTTTCATCAACTGCTAAAATCAATTTAACATATAACAGGAAGCCTTAATCATATTTACTTCTGGCAAAAAGACATTTGTTTGTGACTAGTTTTTTTTACTGGATAAGATAAATTAATTGTCGGATCTGCTCAGAGTTCTAAGTACATCATGACATTTATTAATTTTTCTGTAGCAACAATCCTACAAGATGCTTTGCAAACGTGGCTAGTGTGTTATACAAAAATAACACCCTTCTTCCCTCCTCTGACTATCAGCAGAGATATCATCTTTATACCTAAAGGATGCAGCCTCTACCAGCTCAGGCAAAGGAGGCTGCATTAGCAATAGGCTTTAACCTTTGTATGGGAAACAACCGTAGCTGTAAGAAGACACAAAAGGCAAGTCGTCACCAGTGCAACCGTTTATCTAGGATATTGTGATCAAGCTCTTTGTTCAGGCTTATTACCAACCTCTGTGACTCATCTTACCTTGCCACTTAAAGCACGTGCACTTCCCAGATGAGCAGTACCAACACCGCTTACCTTGTTGAACCGGTGAGTAGGCGTTAGTCAGGAAACGAAAGTGCCCTTTATTGTACCAGCAGATCAGGGACATGTTCCCCTTCATCCTTATTCTGTACTGTCCTCTGGACGGGGGAGTGTCAGGGTTGTTCAGCATGGATGGAGGTAGGCCTGTGCAGTCACTCTTCCTGGTGCTCAGCAACCCACAGCAGTAAATCGCTGCATGTGGAAAAAAACCAAAACATTCCCTATCAGCAAACCTTTGCATAGACCCAGAAATCAAGAGCAGTGGAGCAAGTCTGGCTGACCTAACTAGAGAAATAGCTTGTCCACAATGTTCTAGTTGAACAAACACTTCAGCCAACTGGCCTTCTCCTGCAGTAACATTTAATGTGTTATTTAACATACCTAACATTTGTGTCCGACCTGAATGGCTCTGGAAACTGAGACAAGGGCAGAAAACCTGCTCTCAAAAGGAAATGTATTGACATCTCCTGCACTGACACAATGCAGTGACAAGGAGAAGAATGCAGGGTGTCTTCCCGATAATGACATCTATAATCTGTGTAATATTCTGCACAACATCTTTTAAATTGGACTGAGAAATATAAGCCGTGATATGCATTACAGAACAAATCAGAATTTATGATCCAAGAGAGTCTTTGATGTTTAACTAAGAGAATAAATTGTGGAGGGAGCAGGAATGGAGGGAAAGCTATAACATCTTTGCTGTTAACTGAAATAAATTCTCCTACATAACTCCCATTATGCTTTTAATAACATACATACATACATGCTTTTAATAACATACATAGCTGACAAACTCGTTTAATCTACTGCTTCACTGTGCCGTCCAGTTCTTGTTCTTCAGCTTGGCATTCCTTGCACCTGCATAATCTGGTTTGTAAGGGAAATACTTGTTAAGCAATTAAGAAAAAAAAAACTAAAACATGGGTTTAATTAAAAAAAAAAAGAAAGAAAAAAGCATATTCCAAAGAATGGAGAGAATGGAAACACAAAGTCCCATGAAAACAGAGTTTAGGGAAAGGAGATAAAAAAAGTCCTGGTGGGTTTACCCTGGGCGGTCACTGGGTGCCCACCCAGCCACTCTCTCATTCCCTTCCTCAGCAGGAGAGGGGGAGAAAAGACAAAGGAATGCTTGTGGGTTGTGATGAGCACAGGGAGATCACTCACTGTTACAGGCAAAACAGACTTGGCTTGGGGAAGATAAATTTAATTTATTGCCAGTTAATAACAGAGTAGGATTGTGAGAGCTAAACCCACATTAAAATAAGCTTCCCCTTGTTCCAGCAAGCAGTGGCCTGGCTGAGTGAGCACTGATCCTGTTCTGCAGGCACTGGAGGCTCCGCACACGGGACACCAGGCAGCACATTCTGCTGCTCACAGCTTCCTGGCCTTTTCATAGGTGAAAGAAGCAATGAATAAAATCTAACTCTGCAAATCACATCTCAATGCAGCCAGGTGGGGACAAGCGAGATTTTGCAACTACATTAATAATAAAAGTGCCTGAACTTGCCATCAGGCCATTAAATAATAATGGTCTACTTCCATTATTTCAGGAGAAGGGTAACTTCTTGAACAAGTTAATTAAATTCAAGGAAATCTTGGATGGAAATTTCCCCATCCTCCTTTGGTTTTGCTTCAACCCACCTGTGCGGAGAAAATAGATGGACATGGGCAGGTGACATCTGTGCACATCATCCACGTGGCAGCTATGGCCTGTGGTAGTTTAAAGCTTATCTGTCAGCTAAGATTGTTTGATCAAATTTTTCATCATGATTAATTTTCCACACTGGATAATTGCATATCTTTAAAGGGGAAATGTTAAGTCAGACTACAGTTTCTGGCTTCCCCAGAGCATGTTACCTATGATGTTTCCATTTACGTGGCTCTTCTGCCTCTGTCTTTCTGGAATGACACAAGTTCTTGAGAGCGGGTGCAGCCTTTGCCCTTCATTCTTTTAGTGCTTGGTGAACTGAGCATATCCTCAATGGCTAAGGCTCATAGATATGACAGAAATACTAATGTAATAATTGCTAATACTCATGGATCAGTTCAGTTTTTGTGGGCATGTCTATGAGGAACTGAGACTTTCTCATTAGAAATTTGAGACGCTCATGTCAGAAGAAGGTCAACCATCACAGTGGTAGGGGCTACTTTATTCGAGAGAGGAAAGCACTCGACTTGTTATTTCTAAGGAATGAATCAATCCCTGGAAATCTGTAAGGTCCCTCCACAGAAGACAAGAAATGTCTGATAGCAACAGGCTTAGAATCAATATAGCAGGAACTGCACCCCCAATCAAAGGCTTTTTTTAAAAAAAATCTTGTCTTGCTATGAGGTATACAAGCACTGGCAGTCACATTCCTGCAAACTTAGGCATTAACATACCAAACTTTTATAAAGCTTTCTTTTAGCCAACAGTAAGATTTTCCTGCTCTGATAACACAATCCTGAGAAGTTTCCTTAGCTGCCTAAGGTTTATGACTCACTGAAGGGTGATACTAACTCTCTCCATAAGACTGCAATGGTACAAAACCAAGCTAATAACCACATTAATGTGCTACAGCTTCAAAATAGCAACAGCCATCTCTGCAATACCATAACAATAATTGTAGCCTTCCCTTTACTGCAGGCAGTAAGCCTGCAGAAAGCTTCCAGCAGATGTTTCAGTCCTCATACAGAATGATGGGAACCATTTCCTCACTCGGGAGCACGCAGTGTAACCTCCTTGCTACACAGCCCAGAAAGGTGCAACACTTCTGCAGATTTACTAGGGTCTCCTATCATGGATGACACCCTTAATCTATAGAGATTTTAAAAAACACGCGGTTACTATAGCAATAGAAGTAATAAAAACTAAGCCCATCTGGCTCAATGAAGTTTTTGCATTTAATTAAATCTGAATCACAACAGGTGTTTGCCGCATACATACGAGTCAGTGGAGACAGGTTCTCCTCCTCTGATCTTAAGCTGTAACTGCATATAAATGCAAAAATATAAGTTAGCTTGGGCAGTGACTAAAGCAAGTAGAGGAAGTACGGCATGGTCACTCAGGTTCATTCCTGAGTCTTCAGGCTCTGGAGAGCTTGTGCTGACAAGTGTTTCTCCACATCTTCATTTGTACCATTTGCAAAGGCACGAGCCAGTTCAGTTCCTCCAAGTACACATTCTTCAGTCCTATATCCTGAATGCAACATTGGGTTATGTCAGAATCAGCACAAGTGTGGGGCCTGTTGCAGCAGGATTCTGCAAAGCTCCTGCAGGTGCCATGGCCACTCAGGCTGGCAAGTCCTGCAGCTTCTGCCAAGCCCAGCTGCTCTGCAGGACAGAGCCAGCTGCTCCTGCTGGCTCAGAAAGTGCAACAGGGACTTTCAGGGGTCATAACATTAAGGGAAGCACTGGGACATGCGGCTTTGGGAGATGCTGTCCTCTGCAGGCAACAACGCTTGCTTAGAGGGGAGAAAGGAATGTGCACTATGAATGACTGTCACAGCAAATAACAATGACAGCTGTCTCAAAGAAAAGAGAATTTGGGGCATTTCGGTGCAGGTTTCCAGTTCTATTCAGAGGCCAGAAAAAGAAATGTTTTGTATGTCCCCTGAAAAAGAGCTCTATTCAGGTTTTTGATTTTGAAAAAGATCAAAGTGCCCGGGCTTATTTTTCTGAAGCTTTCTCATCTCTTGGTATCTTCAAAAGCCTTAGAATTATGTTCACTGATATCCCTTTATATTACTAGACACATATTCTCTACCGTGGCACAGTGAAGGTGCTACATGGCAGGCTGTCAGACAAGAACACCGTGTTTTTTTGCAGTAATGCATGTGTGGCTTAGGAAAAGCAAACGGTAGTCGCAGGTCCACAAAAGTCTTCAGAGGATCACAGGATCCTATGGATCATTGACTCATTCAGGTGGGAAGGCAACTCAGGAGATATCTCCAGTGCCAAAGAAGGGTCAGCTCTGAGGACAGACAGGGCTGCTCAGGCCTGCTTTATCTTGTCTAGGCTTGAAAACTTCCAGGAACAGAGACTGCACAGCCTCCCTGTGCAGCCTGCTCCTGCTGTCCTCAGAAAATCCTTGAGCTTAGTCTGAACTACTTCTTTTGTTCCAACTTAGGTCTGTTGTCTCTCATCCATCCACAAAGCACTACTGAAGAGCTGGCTTCATTCTCTTAATACCCTCCTCTGGGTACAGGAAGGCTGCTGTTGAGTCCTCCTGAAGCCTTTTCTTCTCTGGGCTGAACTAGTTCAGTTCCCTCCTCAGTACAGAACATCTGGTCCAGCCCCTGATACGGTTCACTTACCTGCAGGCTACACTCCTGCACAGCTGATGATAGTGCTGACCATCCTTGCTGCCAGGGCACGCTGCTGAATCACATTCAGCTCACTGGCAACCAAGAGTCCCAGGTGCTTTTTCCCAAGATTTTGAGAGGAAATAATATATTTTTGGTGAGTGTCTCTTTCTAGATTTTCCAGAATTCCCTTTAGTTCCCTTAAATGTCAATTTAGGTACCAAAAATTTATAGTTTCTCGGCATTACCTTATTGAAATCTTCCCCTTTCTCTCTGTCAAGTTACCACGACCCTCCCCTCAAAAGAATAATGTAAAGGAATTGTTAAGATGAACCCCAATTTTTTTCTGTTTACAGCTCTCACTGGGATCTCTCTCTTTCTGCTACTGATCCTAACCCAGAAACTATTTTTGCTTGAACAAGAAAAGTAAATTTGACAGTTTAAGAATGGATCTTGAACTGTCACGAACACCTCAGCACAGATGCTGTACTTGTCAAAAGGCTCTCATGCCTCTTCATCGTGGTGTGGCCCTGCTCAGGTGTAGTTGGCCAAGTCACTGTACCACAAAAGCATTAAGGTCACTGCTGAAGGTGGCTGTGTGATACACTAGGAGAGATCTCTCTGCTGAGTCCAGGCTTCTCTGCCTGCCTCTCCCCAAATGTACAGCCAGTGCAGCAGGATCCCAGCAGGTGCTGGCAACACGTTACCTGCTCTGCAGTGCAGTCAGCACACACCATCTCCTCCAGAGCTCTTACTGACTCTACCACTGCTTGACATCTCTGGTGTCTGATCTCTTCCAGTGTATCATAGTCCTTCCAGTTCAACACCCCCACCGAATCTGTGACCTGAGCCCATAGTACCCCATGGCAAACACAGACAATCCCCTGTCCTTATTAAACATACAGACTACCGTGTTCTCACCATGATCTTCTTTGTAAGGGAGTTCTAACTTATTTTGCAAAGACAGTATATCTGCTGTCTTAGTGTCTGCCTCCCCCACCTCATAGTTTCACCCCTAGGAAAGCGATGGTGTGTACTGGATCATAAATTTAATTTTGGAAGCAGCTGTCAAATATCGTAAAATGTCTCAGGAAGCCATATAACAACTCATGAACCAAACTGAAATCAATATAGCATTAGCATATTAGATCAGACAGTAAGTCAAAACTGCATGTGGTATGAAGTCATTATTAAATTTGATACCTGCTAGAAATTGTTAATTTGAATGATCTGTTCAGTGTAAAGACCATGAATAATTTACCCCTGTAAACAATTTGAATTATCTGTAAGTACTAAATGGGTTTAGTACCCAAGCACCTTTTCCACAGGGGCTGTGGACCATCTGGGTCATGCTGCATTGTCTCTGACCTCCCCCAGCTAAGCACAAATGGTGTGACTCAGAAGTCAATTTTTGTCTGCCAGTCTTTAAGTTTAAACCTGACACTTCTCAAATATAAGGAGTATATGGGGTATCCTCTAGTTTTTTGACCAGCCAACTCCATTTTAGTTTTGGTAGTCTTAAAAATGTAATTGTTATAATCAACTAATAATAAAAATGGTTATTGACTATAGAACAGAAGAGAAACCATCCAGCGCACCATAAATGTGCTTGACTTTTTCCCATCTGTCTGTTTGCAGCATTTGGGAAACCCATGACCTCTTTTGTGATAATACAGGTAGTATTCCTCTGCACTCTGTGAGCTTCCAGTTTACCTAAAATAAATTAGGAACTAAGTCCTGCACAGAGCTCAGCAGACAGCTGTCGGTGCCAGAGCAGTCTGAAGTGCAGGAATGAGGGGCTCAGCTATAGCACTGTTATCAGCTGACTGGTGTTCTTGTTTGAGATAAGAATCAAACTATTGTCTCAATTCCAAGTCATTCCCTCTGCTTTGGACCACATTTCACTAATATAATGCCAGAGGTGTGTTTAATTTTCAGCAATGGAAAACATATCAAAGGCAAAACTCAGTTGTCAGTGGTATGCTGAAAAGGGAAACAGCCCTGTGGCCTCCTCCTATGTGATGCATAATGGCAACCTCAAGTCTTAGTGCTGCAAAGGATCTACTGAATACACTACGCTGACCCTGAAAGGCTGTGCTGACTGAAGAACTAGCTGAAAATTACACCGAGATGACTTTTAACTGATTATCAGAGTGCAAGAGCCTGTAATCCAAGGGAAGTCCTCAGTATTTCTCAAATAAGGTAGTATGGGGCTACTTCACATAAGGTGAAGGGGCATTTGACAGAAAGGATGTCCTGGGGTTACTCTCAGCACCAGCATACTGGCTGGTAGAGCCACACTGACACAACGATGGGCATTCTGCTGGCAAATATGCTTTGGTCAATGTAGAGTTCATTATGCTTTCACACTAAAAAGTTTCCTACCAAGGCATATTTGTACCAGCAAAAAGCTGAACCATGCTAGGGCTTTTGCAATGGCATAAAACCGTCATGCAGAGAAGTCACATCTAACGGATATCCAAACAGCAAGGACTTCTAAGGCACACCTTGCAGGATTCATCCCAGCCTTAGTCTTTTACAGTGGGAACAGAAAAATCACAGGCAGCTAGGGCATGCCTTGAACAGTCCCCCAGGTCATGCAGAAGATTAGACCTCACATTTCTAAGGCAAAGAACAGAAGTAAGGGTTTTGAATACCCTTATTAAAAATGTTTTTATGTTCTCATTTTTAACTTGGAAGATTTAAAGAGCATAGACTCAACTTAGAAAGTCCTCTGCATAGTACCTTTCCATGAATGAGAGCTCTTCCTAGAGATGACCAATTTATTTGTACAGCGATATTTAAAATCTCACTGAAGCCTTTGGGAAGTTTATTGAATTCAAGTGGCAGGAGGTCTCTAGGTCTATGATCATTAAAACCCAGTGAGTCACCACATACACACCTTGCTTCTCAAATTCTTCAAAGAGATTGAGGCTGGTAATGCTTGGGCCAGTGAAGATGATGTAGTTCTTCCCAGAGGCATTCTGACAAAGGCTTTTGGCCACCATACTGTGCAGCTGCGGCTTGTTCTTCAAAGCATCCAGCCCGTCAGCACCACTCCCTTCTTTGAGATGGACATAAATCTTAAACGAGAAACAGGAAGAAAAGTCAGAAAATTATAATGAATCCAGAGGGAGCAGATGCAATTGCTAACATACCTTCTCATCTGGACACAAGCTGAGGATCAAGACAGCAGATACTCTTTATAAACTGCTAATATCTAAAGACCGTTTCAAGGAGCTGTTGCTTTAAAACCACCCCAGGTTAGCTGGCATAGCCACCAATAAGCACAGGGTCCTTTGTCTCAGCTCAAGGGCTTCCTGAGGTTTTTGCCACTGCCATTGTGCAGTTTGAAGACTGTTTACTTGGCAGGAAACATCTCAAGTCATAGCAGAGATTACATGTTGTACTGAATCTGCATTGCCTTTACTTGCTGCCAGCAAAAGAAGACATGGAAATTTCAGTTCCAAAAAAGTCCTCTACTAGATGACCAGAAGGAAATGGCCCATTAGCTTCCCTGCAGTAATGTTCACATTTATTTCTGCTGGCAGCAACCATTTAGGCTGCAATGCAAGTAAGTGTGTATGAACCCCTGTAAGTGAAACTGCTCGGGCACAGCACTAATTCCAAGATCCTTTACTTTGATCAGGATTTGGAGACAACCCACCAGAACAGATTGAACCAGGAAGCAGGGTACACTGCAATATGCTGCTTTAATAGTGAAATAAATGCCTGGCTCATTTGTAAGGCTGCAGTAGCTCTAGCACGTGTGCTGCTGCTGTGCAATTCACACCTGCTATGCGTGGCAAGACAGCTGCCACCATCATCTGTAGGTGGACATGCATTAGAGGGCAGGAACATTTATCCTTAGTAACATTACTGTAACTGAACACAGACAACTAGCATGGTCACACCAACTGAAAGAGCACCTGAAGGAAACTATTCCTGCTTTCCTACAAGTGATCTCTCTAGAAAAGACCTGCATTGTCATTCAGAAGGAGAAAGCACATAACCCTTTCTTTGTACAGAAGCCTTTGATTTTATTTCACTGACAGTATTTTACAAGCATAACTTTCACCAAAGTTGAACGCCTATCAAAACCAACTAGGCATCTGACCTTCATCCTTGTTCCAAAAGTCAGGAGAAATAACCTGCTGGAAAGAGAAATGAGAAGAAGCAGGCTCTGTATTCAGTCACTCGAGTGGCACTGTAACTCCATGCTACTTCCAAAGATTTAAACACACACACACAAATGCAAATTTTCAGTGGAAAGACATGTATTTGCAACAAAACTCAAATCTGCAGAGAGAAAGATTAAACTTGCTAAGTATTCAGGGGTAGGGAAAAGGAATTGTGCCTTGTTTGCTGGAGTGATGTATCCACAACATTTTGTTAAATTTGCTTAAGACATCAGCCATCCAGAATACACAGCATTGCTTTCCTGTAGATGCCATTTTATCTTACCAACAGACTCCTTCATAAAAGAAACTTCATTATAATGTTCAGAGAATAAAAGTACTTGGATGTTTGCAGTAGTGCGCTCTGTAATTTTTGCTATATCAATGATCTTAGAAGGAAACAAAATTAAATTAAAAAGCTTCTCCCTGTTTTAGATGGTGCATCACCCAGCACTGATATTCTAGGGATATTAATATAATATTCCTTAGCTATTCATCCATCATGAAACAGACCCCAGAGGAGTGTGTTATGTATGAAATCTCTGAGCAGTGATGTGTGCTTTGTATTTTGGAGTAACTGTAGTGCTGAAGAAGAAAGTTGGTGCAAGAATAAATACAAACTAATTCCAAAAAAGTAAAGTGCATCTTAAAGGAAGTCTTAAAGACACATTACTTAATAAATAAATAAACAAACAAATCCCCTTTTAATAAAAATAGTTTCCAGTTGAGGACATAGGCAGAAATGTTCATAGACTCTCTGACCATGCTCCACTCCCTTTTGAAAGCTGTCAAATTTGTGCTTTCCCCAATGCTAAACTTAGGACTAGCTAATTATGATAAATCATTTAGATTATTAATTACGACTCAAGAGAGCAGTTTAACAGCGGAATGCATACAAAGGGCAGATTGTTCCAAATTTACAGCAAAGATTGTGTGTGTGATTACTGGCGTGGAAATTAAGATCAGGTTACTAGTGTGGCAGCATAGAGACCACACATCAAGCCCTTAAAAATCTACAGACAAGGAAGAGAAGACAAAAAAGATGCAGACAGGTTAGTTTTGACCTTGAGTCAGTAGTTGAGCTGAAAACAAAGCAGGCATCTGTAAGTCTAGGAAAGTGTCCTGCACTTTCCCTCCTGTATTACAGTAAGTCTAAGCTCCTCAGGAGTCCCTGCTACTTCATGCTGACTTTGTGTTCTCTGCAGAGCCTGCTGCCAGGGGATGAGGCACTCTGCTGGCACTGGTGGGGGCACCACCTGGTCCCTCACCATGGGCTGGTTTGGGTCTGCATGCAGCTACTCTAAAGAGCAGCTAGCTGTCCATGGCGTTATCACTGTTTTCATACCAGGATGCTACATGTTCTGTACATCTTGCTAGCAGAGCTCTCTGTGCACCTGTCACCCTCCCTTTGTGCTCCCCTCTGTCTCAAGGGTCCTTGTAATGGCCTCCTGGTGATTCTCCTTCCCTCTTGCTCTGTTCGCCTCCCCAGTGTCCTTTACCCAACATCCATACCACTGCGGAACATTCCCTCCTCCTCCAATGTTCAATATATACCCTTTTTTAATTCTTGGGCACTCCTTTGCCTATTAAAGCACAGCCTTTGTTCCTGGCACAATTTTTCTTGTTTTGGAGAAGCATCGTTCAAAGCTTTGTTGTGCTCAGCTCTATGGGGAGGATGGGGGTTGGAAGGCATAATGTTGGAAGGCATTAAGGATGCTGTGCTACTGTGGCTGGGCACAGACAACTGGCAATGGCATAGCTTCAAATATTCCTGCAAGTGCCTAAAATCCCATATGGCCTTTATTTTTCTTCTCCTTGTCCCCTCATCCAGTTTATACCATTCTACCTCAAATCACCAAGACCTCCCCACTGAAGCCCCCAGCACTCCCTCACATTCTGTAATTCACCACAGAGTTAGCAGTTAGCAGTCTGCAGACAAAGCACGGAATTGCCAGAAATTGACTGCAAGACCTTCATAGGTGCAGTCAGAAGCTGCTCCCCTGAAACTGTTTGTTAAACCTTTCACCAGAGCTGCTGGTTTGCCTTGTGACAGTGTTAGAGCTTTGTGCCTCGTCCATGTGCTCCAAGAGGAAAAGATCAGCAGCAGTACAGGCTGGACAACTGCTGCTGGACAACAGATGGAGATGTTGGCAGCAACATCCTCTGCTTCTGCGGGTGACAGTCAAAGCAATGTTTCTCAAATATCTGCAGAGATCCCATTTACTGTGCAGCTTTTTCTAGTGGCTACTGATACTTTCGATCTACAACACCAAATGGGATAATTTATATAGACGAAGCATCATTTCTCTTAAGAGACAAGTACAAGCTGAAGCTCTTTGTCTTGCAGTGCAGGAACAGAAAAGGAGCTTTCTCCAGTCATCCTTCAGTTCTTATCGGAAGAGCTACACTTTAAATTCTGCCATCTTTCTATCTAGGGCAGCCCTACTGCACCAGATACTTCTAATCCAACATTTCTTAATACCACATGCACAATACCAGCTCTCTCTTCTCACACCCTTAACTCATCCCTCAAACTCTCCTCTCTTCTGCCTTCATCTTCCAGGCAGAATCCTAACAGTCTCTTGGTCCCTAAAGCCTGTACAATAAAAGACCTTCACAGTCACTGGCTCTCCTCACGTCCGCTACAACTGCTTCTGCCTTCTCCCATCACAAATAAAAAAGTAGGTATCAATCAATATAACTCAATGCCAGAGCAACATGGTATTGGTAAAGACCACTTACCTACACAGAGGCAAACAGAAAAGACATCACATTTCTGAGCAGGAGATTCCACATGCTGACAGATGAGAGGCAAATCAATCACCTGTCATTCAGAAACTCAAAACAAATATATTTGGCTACAGAAGCAGGCTGTTAGAAGGAGCACTAACAGAGAAAGGAAGATCTCATAGTAGACATCCATGCCACAAGCCAACAGAGCTTTCCTTGCTCTGTGCTGGTGATTTACTGTGTGGAAAATTCATGTAGCAGGTTCATAAGATCTTGCTAGAAATGGGGTAAAATATGAGCACTTAGGAACAATACTTGCATCTTGACCACACACTAAAAACTAAAACATTGACTGTTCTGTTGATAATCATAGCTCAGATAGCAAATTGAAAGCACTTGTGAATAGCACGTCCCAAATACTTTGCATTCATGTATAATCAAATCACCCGAGGGTACAATTCTCAAATAAAGTAGCTGACATTCAGAAGATAAAAAGGGCAGGGGTGGTAACAAGCAGGAGTAGATTTTGAAGGCTACATTGTGCAAAATATCTACCAAAAAGTAGTAGGTGGTAGAGTTGACACTGAAGGCCCAGTATGGCTAAAACTAAAGCTTTGTTTTCCTTCCCCCGACATCCTTCCTCCACGTGATTTGTTCATCACTGAGGACACCACAACATCTTACCTGTATGGTCAATCTACAGCCTGTGGATCACCAAATGCAGACCTCTCTATATCGTTTCCCAGGCCAGCCACATTTAAAGCAGATTCATCACCTGTAACACCTCTATGATAAAGCCTTTCCTGTTCTGTCAAATACTTAAGAACTGGCTGGCTCTCATCTCAGCTACCTCAATCACCCTTTTGCCTGGTCTTGCGTACATATATCTTGACACCGAGGCAGTATGTCAGGCAAATAACCCTTTGCTTTGACCGTGTCAGCCTTCTGACAGCTCCCTCTTCTTTACAGCATCAAAAAGAAGCGGGCCTGGAAGATGGAGACAGGCCCTTGCAGTTTGGCACTCTCTACTGAGCTCTTCCTACACCTTTTGAGTATCCTGATTCCCACCTACGCTTCCCTGAGAAGCCAGACACTCAACTATTGTTGCCAAACAAGGCCAGTTTTCGCTCCTTTGCATTACTGACCCGGTAGTCAGTAAATCCCCAAGCAGCACA